ATTTATTTGTTTTCACTTGCTTCTGTCAATGGACAAAAATTTAAAGAATACTTACAAATTTATTTTTTTAGAGTTTTGTTGTACACATCTTATTAATGGCAACTGCAGATTAAAAAAAAAAACTTTTTGAGTTTATATATATATATATATATTCTTTATACCTATCTTGGGCATTAATGCAATCATTCCATCTTGGAACTTGGTGATCTTTCTCTCCCATCAACATCAACACCAACCCTATGATGGGGGCAAAGTAAACAAACGGATGCAGAAGCAGAGCACCAAGAAACTCAAGAGTTTGCATACGATTAGTCATATATTCCTATCAGCAGAGTTTAGATATATTCATCTCTAACAAAGGTATAATATCCTTCCAAACACTTTCAGATTTTCCATTTCGTTTACAGAATTTTTTTTTTTTTTTTTTTGTAATAATGTGTTGCATGTTTTCAGATTTTTCATGGATCCACATAGTCAAAATATGGAGTTTGAAGATTATGATGGAGATGAAGATGAAGTTGAAAAACCAAGTGCAACTCCACTTTGGAAATATGTTACAAAAGTTCCTGGTGAAGGACTAGTGCCAAACCTGGAGGTGGTGGATCAATGAAATTCATTTGCAATTTTGGTTGCAAAATTGTGGCATATACTGGTTCTTATGCACGAGTTCGACAACACTTGATTGGAAAATTACCAGGCCAACGATATCAAGGGATAAGAGTATATCCAAAGCTGAGCCAAGCTGGGAAGGACTTACTAAAGGAAGAGGAGTTGGCTGCACAAAGAATTTTTGGTGGAAATTGTAAGTCTAGAAAAATTCCCATGCCTTCAAAGACACGGCAACCATCTCAGACCACTAGAAAATCTTCAGTCAAGGCTTCAGTTGACAAAATGTTTCAAAGAGCTAGTAGAGAAGAAGTTGATCAAAAGATTGCAAGATGCATTTACGACAATTGCATTGCTTTCAATGTTGTGGGGTCACCATTGTGAGCAGATATGGTCTCTTCGATTCTGAATGCACCAAAAGGGTACAAGTCCCCTAACTATGAAAAAGTTAGGACTGCTCTTTTGGACAAAGAATAGAAAAATGTGCAACAATCTTTCACTCACTTGATGCAGGATTGGAGCACTCATGGGGTATCTATTATCTCTGATTGCTGGTCTAATTTAAAAAACCAATCTCTTATTAACATCATGGCTATCTCTGGAGGTAAAGCCATTTTTATAAATGGACATGATATTTCTTCCATTGAGAAGACTGGGGCTAATATTGCTGAGCTGCTCTTGAAGGCCATTGATTATGTTGCCCTTCTAATGTGGTCCAAGTTGTGACAGATAATGCTTCCAATTGAAAGGCTGCAGCTGCGATAATTCAACGAAAGCATGCCTATATTTTTTGGTCTGGTTGTATGGCTCATACCTTAAATCTGTTGATGAAGGATATAGCTAAAAGTAAGGATTCATTATTGTCCTTTGTTGATGAGTCTTATAAAAAAAGGCAAGGTAATTATTAAATACATCAAAAATCACTCCTCTTGTCAGTACTTGTTCAAGACCTTTTCAACATTGGAGCTTCTCAAAGCAAAAAAAACCAGGTTTGGCCATAATTTTATTGTATTGCAACAGCTTGTTAAAGTGAGACCATCATTAATGTCTATGGCTCTAAGCAAGCAATGGGATAACTTGAGGCGGAGTTCATCCTCACCAGAGTAGCATGGCATTGTCCAACAAACAATTATGGACGATGACTTTTGGAAAAAATTAAAAAAAAAAATCCTCAAGTTTACAAAGCATATATATAAGATGCTTCGTTTTTCTGATTCTGATAAAGCAGTTATTGGAGAGGTTTATGAGCAAATGGATACAACGTTAGGAAATATCAAAGACTCTCTTTCTGATGATCTTGCAATCTATGATTTGGTTCAACAATTTATGGTGGCAAGATGGGATAAAATGAATATTCATCTACATTGCCTTGCAAATGTTCTTGTTCCTAAGTACTCAACAAATTCTTGGCTTTCATAGCCAGCTTCTGGTGGTGTGAGTAGGAAGAAGCCTCATTTTGATAAAGAGATGCAAACAGGATATCTTCAAGCAATTGAAAAAATTGTTGTTGACCAAAATGAAGCTTCTTTGATACGCCATCAAATCAACAATTTTGTGAGTAACAAAGGGGTTTTTGCACAACCCCAAGCTATGAAAGATAGAGCAACCATGACTGCATTATCATAGTGGCATATGTATAGTTGGGCTACTCCCAAATTGTTCTCGTTGACTGTGAAAGTTTGTCTCAAAGTGTAAACACTTCTTATCCTAAGAGATGTTGGAGTACCTATTCCTACATTCACAATGTGAAAAGAAACAAGTTAAATGTGGATCATGCTGAAAAACTAGTTTTTGTGCACTACAATTATAGGTTACTCTTCTCTTCTTTGTTTTATTTGTATTGTCTATTATGTTCTAGTTTTTGTATTTTTTTTTCTTATAATAATATAATATTTGTTCTTCTCTTGTCAACAAATTACAGATTGTTGACAAGCTATAGGGATGATTATGAGGACTTCAAGAATTGGGATGCCTATCCAGAAGATGCCAACATAGAGGAGGATTTCACTACAATAAAACAAAAGGATAATGTGTCTCTCTCAGATAGTGAAGAGGATGGTGAAAACAACTTTGATGATGTTAGTGTTCCAAGCCTAGCTTTAACTGTTACTGCCTCTCCATCTTGTCCACCTCCAAGTGTTTAAGAGTCTTTTTCAATGGAGAAAATAGAGAGAGCACAGAGGAAGCTTGAAAACGCAAGGGGTAAAAAGCAAAAGAAATGAAGAATTTGCTGCAAAGAATGAATCAAAAACTGTCTTGTTTGTTCTCTTTTTTTATCCTTGTTTTTGGTAACAACTCTACTTTTGTGGATTGGTGGACTTTTGTTGTTTTGTTGGACTTTTGTTGTTTTGTTGTTTTGTTGGACTTTTGTTGTTTTGTTGGACTTTTGTTTTTTTGTGGTGATGCTTAATTTTTTTCCCAGACTTAGTAATATATTTTGTCTATCTAATGGGAATTTATAAAATATTTATATTTTGGTATCAACTCTACTTTTTTCATTTATAACATATATATATATATATATGTCAATTTATTTATTAAAAAAATATATATGCATGTATGTCAATTAGAAATAAAAAAAATATATAGATAAATTAAAAATATAATTAATAAAAATAATACATAAGCACTTATAATCTACGACTCCTCTAAGTGGTCACGTTCTCCCGCTCCCGCTCTCACTTCGTGTAACTAAGGGTTATATATACTTCTATGAAAACATAATTATTAATTTAGTCTATTCCATGCCTTTATCATTCACTGCAAGCACGTATGGGCGTTATTTGCATGGATGTTTTGTGGAGCTCTAAAATTCGGTCTTTTATGGACAAACTAGTTTTTTTTTTTTTTTTTTTTGGTGGTGCTCGTTGAAGGGTTGTTGTTTCTGGAGCTTTTCACTTAATTTTATAATGTTTAAAGTAAAAGACGCTTGAAGTCTCTGTTTATAACTAAGTTAATGCTGGGCAGCCTGCATATATTTGTAAACAAATTTTTATTTGCTTATTACTGTGCTAACCAGGATTGTAGAAAATTGATGTGAAAATTCTGTTGAAATCATGCAATGTTTGCCTAAATTTAGTCAATATATTGATAGAAGCAAACTTTTATCTATATTATTGCTATTTTTTAACTTTATTACAAGTATTTTTTTTAGTTAAATCTGACAGAATTAGCACAATTTCCAAACAAAAAAAAAATGAAGCTATAACGGCGTTTTTTAAACGCCACTATAGTGCCAACAATTATATTTTTAAAATACAAAAAAAAAACTATCACGACGTTTTTAAAACGTCGCTAAATATTGCATGCATGACGTCATTTTATCGTTATTTACCACATTTAACAGCACTTCAAAAACGCCGCCTATACTAATATAGCGACATTTTTAAAAGCGCCATAAAGTTACAATGACGGCCGCATCTTCAACGTTTGGTACTAAACGTCACAAAAAATAATTAACAACTTTTTTACAGTTATAACTGCATTTTTTAAACGCCTCTATATGCTCAATTTCCTGCAGTGGACTTACAACTTTTTGTACAAGTTTATTTATTGGATCGAGTCAGAATCATACAAAAATAAACATTATCAATTTTCAATCAACCTATGCTGAGCATCTCTTTATTATCAACTTAGAGCTGCAAGAATTGAATCACCTTATAAGCCTCATGTTGGTCTCCTGAGCGGTGCGAAGGGGCTGGGGAAGAGGTGGCGGTAATGGTGGTGGTAGTTGATAGTCGGTGTTAATGTATATATTGATGTTATCTATGACATCAACTTTAGGATTATTATTCATATTTCATTCATTCCTTATTTAAGACTTTTTTTACACTATATAAAGGATCATTATACTCACATAAGGAGGATTTCCTCCGGTCCAAAATTTAGACTGTAAGGGATTGTTTGGGCCCGTGGGGCCCACCATTGATCCTATTTTGATGATCCGAACCGTTCACCTTGTTGGTTACTTCGTGTATTTCATCCCAAAAAAAAAGTTAGGATGATCTGATAACTGTAACTTATTCAAATTTACCATATTTTTTACTAAAAAAATGGACAACATTGTATTTTTTAAAAATAAACCATATTTTTTTTTTATGACAAAAGTAATAAATTGAACAAGTTACAGCTACTGAATCGGCCTAATTTTTTTGTAGATGAAATACTCAAAGTGTCCGACAAAATGAACGGTTCAAATTATCGAAACATGAGTGGTGAGCCCCATGGGCCCAAACAACTCCTTCCAATTGAGATTTTAGATTAGAGGAATTCTCATCCATACTCATATTTTATTATGATTAATAATACAAATCTTCTCTTTCCTCTCGCTTCTCTATCCATACAATTATATTAACAGTCAGTGATCACATTTATTGTAAAGATGCACTACAGGAAATGTTTATTATGACGGCGTTTATATAAGGGCGTTTTCTTAAGCGTCGTCTTTTTTAATATTTAATGGCGTTTTATAAACGTCGCCTTTTGTGCTACTCAAAACGGCACCATTTAGTTGATAGAAAACGCCTCCGAATGTGTTATAATCTCTCACACCCTCTCCCACCCTCTTGAGACTCTCATTCTTTACCCTTCAGTCTTAGAAAGAAGATGCCTCAAAACAGATATAGATATTAGACAAAGAATAAAGGTAATCCCTTAAATCTCATAGTGATTTCAGAATGGGAATCGATCGGAATCATCTTGGTGATTTAATTTGTTTACCTATTCCATTTACATAGAAATCACTGAGAGGTAAACTTATCTATATCAAGCTTCAGAATCGATTTCATTTACTGAGAGGTAAACCTATCTGCATCAAGTCGATCTGCATCAAGCTCAGTGATTTTGATTTCGATTTCATTTTTTTTCTCTCGCTCATTTTCACTCTTCTCTATCACCAGACTCATCTCTCTCTCTCTCTCTCTCTCTCTCTCTCTCTCTCTCCTCTGCCGATCTCATCCACACTCACCGCCGCTGCTGTCTTCTCATTATCGCCTCAGATCGACAGCTACAGTGGTGGAAGAGGATGGCGGTAGTGGTGCTCGTTGAAGAAAAGAACAAGAGACGAGATCTGAAGGATTTCGAACTAATTAAAGCCAGATCTGAAGGTTTCAAAGAACACCTGATCCAAATAAGGGGGTTTCGAATCAGATATGTTGGTAAGCTCCGTCGATTTCTCTTTTGATTTTGAATTTCTTATTATTCCTAGAATTAGCACATAGATTCCTCCTAGAAAAAATTATGATTTCTGGGTTATTTTCGAACCTCCAATTCCGATATATTCGATATAATCGAGAACGTAATCATTGTTGTTGCTTTGGATTGTCCACAGGAGTTCAGATTGCTGAGAGATCGAATTGCAATGACCTTGTTTTCATGTAAATTGATTCGGTGTCTCGGGTGTGAATGCGTGAAGTTGAAAGTTCCTGTAGAGGATGAGGACCAAGGTTTGAAAAATGGATGTGAATTTGAGACTGGTGGTGGTAAAGAGAGCAAGGTGAATAGTAATAGAGATGATCAGTTTGAAATGAATATCAACCAAGTGAGCAATTACAGCTATGGAGAAGCTGAGGCATTGACTGATGATATTGAAGGTAATGCAGTCATTTTGTTTTCAGAGGAAGTTTACCTTACGTTTGTATTTTTTACTTTGTTTAATTCAATTCATTTTTCCTAGTAGATTTTCCCAAGTACGGATGTTTGCACTGCTTTTGCAGTTGCGTTTAATGCAAACACCACTCAGAACTATGTTGGTTCTATAAGTTTTATTCAAGAAACACAAGTGAGTTTCTGAACCTCTTCCTTGCATTTTTAGCTCATCATACTGCTAACAAAGAGTAGGTCTGTATATAATTATTGAAACATCCACTTATCTGCTGCTTTCTCTTGTTTGACTCCTCCCTATATCCAGTCCCTGTATTCTGTAAGATTGACCAACCAACTCGTTACAGATACCAGAATGCAGATTGGAGACTTCGCCCTCTCCCTGATGAGATGCTCAGGTACGTGTTTGTTTGTGACCAATGATCCTTACTTTCCTAATTTCTTGCCTGCCTTTTGCATCTTGTTGTTTCTTTTGTTTTATTGTTTTTAGTTAGGAGTTTTTGTTTTGTTTTTGAGATGTGAAGGTACTTTGAATAAGATTTGGACAAATGTCTTGTTTGGAACTCCTAATTATTTGTGAGGAAAATAAGTTGGCTATCTTTATTTCTTAAGGGTGGACAATTGAGTGGTAAAAGGTTCCATGTAATAAAAGGTTCCAAAAGTATATAAGATTATCGTACAATCCACTGACCTCGGAGAAGTTACTGCACCCTGCATTCTGCCATGCCACTTTGCCCATTGGGTTTGAGTTGACATTTTATTTTACTGGACTTTTCCTTATGAATTACACAAGAATTTTGTTTTCTTCAACACAATGAAAATACACAAAAGAACAATCAATAAGAGGAATATAAAATTTTATTCTAGATGCTCTAGCAGTGCTTTGAATCTTGCAGTTTTCAAGGTTGGCACTCACACTCTTGCTTCTCAAACTGTGCATTGAGGAAGAATCTTGGGCAGTCTTCATTGTCCCCCATGGTCTTAGAAATTAAATCTGAACCGTTTTATGTGAATTGTATGTTGGAATTAAAAAAGATAGCAAGAATATTTAAGTGAGTAATGCTCTCCGTTCATGTTCCAGGGTGTAGGGCATTCAATTTGACAGATTCTGCCCCCTGTATCATAGCAGTTCATGTTTGAGTATTTTTATTTGATTATTTGTGTTAGTCGTTGTGTCGTCCCTAAAGCCAACATATTGACCCTATGGATTAATTTCAAGTTGCAACAGCTCAGAAGAAATGGATTGACAAGTAACATGCGTTTTTTAGTTTTATCCAGGCCCGTGTGTCACCCAAATCATCAGACTTATCATATTTTGTTTTTATTAGATATGCCATAGAAGACACACACTACCTGTTGCATATTTATGATTTAATGAGAATTAGGTTGCTTTCAGCATCCACTGAATCTGAAAATTCTGATGAACCGCTGGTGGAGGTATGACCTTTATAAGCTATGAACATTCCGTTCTCTATGCATATATATTGAAAGTACATAAGGTATTTTAATAACTATTTCACTTAGCTAATTGAAAGAATAACCTTTTTTAACAATAAGATGTTTCGTTGTTGCTGCTTTTGATTCTTGGTTATTATCAGTGATGGTTTCTTCTTGTTCGAAGCAGGGATTTGAAGTGATAGATATAATTTTTGATGTCAAGCACTGCTTACAGGTGCATTTTTCATAGCATATATGCTAAAGAAGAGCAAATTTTCTCTGGCAAGATTTATTTACATCATACTTGTAGTTCTTTGTGCTATAAATCTTGACAATAATTATGAATATGCATTGCAGGGATTTGTTGGGATGGCTAAGGATCTTAACGCTATTGTGATTGCTTTCAGAAGCACTCAGGAACGCAGGTTTGAAGACGCTTGTGGCCTTAAATAATTAGTTTTTTTGCTATCTCTTTGGAACAATGTTTTCAACTAAGCATTCATCATTCAGATCTCCAGTTAACTACTTCTTGTTCTGTTACCAATTATGAGTCCTTCAAGTCTGATTGTTCTTCCTCATGTCTTTCATGCATTATTCTGATCTTGGTGGCTTGGATTGTGTAATGTGTCTCATTAAGTTGTTATAAATGTTGATTACATGTCCTAATGTCTCAAGAGAGAGATTTTATAATGTTTCAAGATACAAAAAGCAATGTTAGTTTTACTTTATTACGGAAATCTTCTTCTTGCCATCAAAAAATTTAATTTCCTAAAAAGTGAACCTAATTTTCTAAAGTCAAATATGATAATTTATTTAAATTCTCAAAACTTTTTTTGGAACAAATTTTTTTCTTTGGCAGTTAGGAAGTGGTGGTGTTATAGAAGCTGACAAATTTCCTTTTTGCCTGCATAAATGAGGTGTGATTATATTCTTTTCATTATCTAACTTGTTGATGGTAACATTCTTATAATTTTTGTGCTTTTTTTTGTTTAACCCTTTTTTTAATCATAGGAGCAAATTAAGCATGCTGACAAGCAACTCATGTATCAATGCCGCTGTTCTTTTCTTGAGGTTAAGTAATTGGATTTATTACTTGACATAAATATGAACATTTTAGGTTAATTTCTAGATTTACTTAATCCTTTAAAATTGGTATGTACAGATTTACAATGAACAAATCACTGATTTGTTGGATCCAAGCCAAAGAAACCTCCACATAAAGCTGTTATGTCAATTATGTTGTTTGAATTTTTGTGAAATGGTTATGTGGTTTGCTTAAGTTTTTTGTGTGGTTTTTCTTTCTAGATAAGAGAAGATGTCAACTCTAGTGTCTATGTTGAGAATTTGACAAAGGAATATGTATCTTCAATGAAAGATGTCACACAGCTTTTAATGAAGGTTAGCATAGTCATTCTGCTTATGTTGCATCATCTACAGCATCTCCTAGAGAGAATCATCTGAACTGTAGAGTTGTAATGGATTTCTTTGCTACTGTAGATCATGGTTGGTGGGTATACGTAACACTTACCAAAAGTTAAATGTTGGAATTACAATTATAAATGATGAACAATTATTATTTGAAGGGCAATTCTAACTATTAAAAATTTAATAAGACAAGGTTTAAAAAATCTTAGTTACAATTCATGAAGAATAAATTCATAAATTAGAACTTATGTGTAAATACCCCTAAAAATTATTGGATCCCATAATTTTTACCAATAAATATAAAATAAGAATATCACTTGGATTTGCCTCACAACCACCAAATAAATTTTTAAAAATAATGGAGGTTAAAAAAAAGTTAAAGCAAATTACAAATAAGTGGGATAGTTACAAAATAATTATACTACTCAGAAAAAAAATTCTAATGCAACTCTAACATACAGGAAAGACTTGCATTAAAAACATGAATAGGCTTGTTGTACACACACATGAGCCTTACACCACTAATATAAAAGGGCAATTATTTATTTAGTGTTCTACTCAAAGGCAATTTCCGCAAAAAATTACAAATATTATCTTTCACATTGATGATTTTGACAATAAATTTTTTTAATATTCATACTAGTTTATATATATATATATATATATATATTAGAGCTATCCTAAACAAACAAAAATTATTAGAGAAAATTACAAATACACCCCTAAGATTTGCGTACATATTGTCCCCTCTATTTTAAAAAATTACAAATATTCTCTTGTCAAATTTTTTTATTTAATAGAATTAGCAAAAAAAAATGAAATTCTTAACTGCTCTCCTATACAATTATAAAATTACTTGAATTATTAATTGAAAAATATTTCTAATATCACTAAAAACTGTTAGTTGACTTGATAATTTATTTATAAAAATGACAATTTATTATGTGATTAGAAATTTAAAAGAGTGAGATGTATTTTCTTAAACTATAAAATACAATTTATATTTTAAACAAATCTCAAAATATATAATTGTAATTTATCCACATTATTGCATGGGTTAAAAACACCAGCCCATCGTAGGCTCAACTAATGATATTTTATTATTATTTTTTACCACTCTCTTATTAATAACATCATATCATATAATTATATTTTTAAGCCGCTACTATTTTTATTTTAGATTAATTATAAACACACTTTTTAAGATTTATTAAAATATGAATTATACCTTTAGTTTAAAAATTATAAATATCCTTTGTTAGAAATTTTTTATTTAACATAATTAATTAAAAAAATAAAATTTCTAACTGTTTTTTTATATAATAATTAAATTACCTAAATTATTAATTGAAATAAATTTTTAATACCATTAAAACTATTAATTGATTAGATGATTTATTAATAAAAAAATAATTTGTATGTAATTAAAAATTTCAAGGGATGAGATGTTATTTCGTGAACTACATAAAATAATTCATATTTTAAATAAATGGGTAAATTACACTGACCCCCTCTGAGGTTTGGTCCAATTACATTCTACCCCTTGACGTACTGGAAATTACGTTACCACCCCTGTGGTTGATAGTCTCATTTCACAAACCCCTCTACTTATATAAAAGGAAACAACTCTTAGTAGAAAAACAGAGAAAATTACATTGAAAAAAAAAAAAAGTAAAGCAAAGGAAAATAGGAAAAAAAAATAGAGGAAGTAAGGTAAAGTATAAAAAGAGGAAGTGTATGAGTTCAATATCTTCATTCCGTCTAAATAATTACAATGACAGAGGGGTTAGTGTAATTTTTCAAATGTCAGAAGTAATATGTATTAAACCTAAACTTCAGAAGATGTAGGTGTAATTTACCCTAAATAAATTTTAGGAGTGTATTTATAATTACCGTTATTTTTTTAAGCCCCTAGTATTTTTATTTTTAATAATAATAGGTGATCCAAAAAATTATGGCTCGAACGACTCGAAACACCCAAAATGATGTCGTTTTAAGTATAAAACGACGTCATTTTAACACATTCAAACCACAAAAATTCGGGTCACCAAATATTTTCCTTTTATTTTTTATTTTTACAGTGCTATTATTATTGTATTATTATGGAGGACCCCGTAGTAATATAATAATGATCCCTCCATAGCATTTGAATTTGAATACATGGAAACGCAACCAAACCAAACCAAACCAAACCAAACAAAAAACAACGGTTTTTTTTCATGTCATTTTTTCTGCCGAGAGAGAGAGAGAGTAGCCACCATAAAAGAAACGCTCTGACGCTTCTCACTGCGCTCCTCTGCAAATTCAAATCTCCACCCTCCCCAAATCCAAAACCCTAACCCTAAATCTTCTCCATTTCTTTAATCTCCTAAATCTGTAATCTTTTCTTGTCCCACCAACCTCAAATTTCTGATCTTGAATCTCAACTTCCCAACTTTTTGCCCCTAAAAAATAAAGTTCACAGCTGTAGTTATTCTTTTTTAATTCGATATAGATCTGTATTGAAGGTTTGATTCATTGGTTTCTTTTTCTTGGTTCTTTTAAATAAACGTTTTTTGGGTTTTGGTTTTGATAGTTGTTGATAATGGGGGAAAAGCGGAGTAGTGATGACTTTGAAGAAAGTTCAGAACTTGGACGCAAGCGAGTGAAAATGCGAGATCTTGACTCAGTGTTACACTCCGAAGGCAAGTCCTCTTTGTTTTGATGAATTTTTGGCACTGTATTATTCACCTTTTTTGAACAATTCATTTTCTAAATGGAAAAATTGTGTGAACTGAGAATTCATGTGGTGTGCAAATTGAAACTCGCACAATGTTTACTAAGAATTTTCAAAACAATTTTCTGACTCTCAAATTTACTGCTGCCATTAGTGAAGGTTTACTCAATTTGAGTTTAAATTTGAGTTTGTACATTAGAGTGGTTCATATCAAATTAAGCTTTTTTACTCAAATTTGAGTAAAATGTTGAGTAAGGGTTGAAGATGGCCTAATATGAATCCCTTGATAGTGTTTTGCTCGAATTTGTAAGTAATAAGGCAATGCATTGAGGTATCTTGATAAAAGCACTTGCACATTTTTGGGTGACTTGATAAAAAACTCTATGCAGTAAGTATCATTGAGTTATGTTGTTTTGACAACGTTGCAAAGGAATTATTATTACTTTGCTCTTTTTTTCCCAACACCTCAATGGCCATATTTGAATTTCTTCCTAATTTTATTTCTATTTGGCTTTGCTTGGAGGTTTGTGAAGTAGTGTTAGAAACCAAATGCTTTTCGATTTGTGCCACAGGAATTGATACCCATTATCCAAAATCCACAGAAATGATCAAAGCCAAGCACCATCCATTCTCTGTTGAAAAAGAGAAGTCCGATGAAGTCTCCAAGGATGCTACAAAAACAATTTCAGACTTTACCCGAGCAGAAATAACAGCAATGGTTGACCCGGCTGCCAGATCTCTTGATCTGAACACAGAAGTTTGTGTTGCTAACAATTCAGCTAGTGGCGATACACTGGCATGTTCCAACAAATTGTCCTCATTTGGGAAGGATGACATAGGACACGATGTTAATCTACCAACATCAAGGGGTTTTGGTTGGGATCTGAATGCCGAAGATGTTTCTAACTCGCTCAACCAAGACCCATTTTACCCTTACAAAAATCATGAAAATTTGAAATCAGGTGATGCTTCTGAGTGTGGGAGCACTACTGGTCCATTGGAGGAGAAAGATCCAATGAGAGTTTGGAAAGAGATGAAGCAAAACGGTTTCCTCTCATCTTCTCATGGAGGCATACCAGTGCCAAAGCCCCGTGGCAGGAAAAGTAAAAGCGATGGACTCAAAAAAAAGATGGAGCTTGCCAAGAGAGAACAAGTTGACAGGTTCGCGAAAATTGCTGCTCCAAGTGGACTGTTGAATGAGTTGAACCCAGGGATTATAAACCACGTGAGAAATAGTAAACAGGTTCATTCAATAATAGAGGCCCTAGTGAGGTCTGAAAAACTTGAAAATCGTCATGCTAAACAAGCTAACTCAACGAAGAGTGGTACTAAAGAAATTACTGACAGGAAGGACAAGGAAAATGTGAACGATTTAGGAATCAATCGGGTTGGCCTTTCTCATGATGATGGGTCCTTGAGTACGTTATCAGCGAGTGAATCGGTACTTTTTAACCACTCAAGGAGACACAGTGACTTGAGCAAGCTAGAGAGATGGACTTTTGGTAAAACTAGTTGTTCTTCCTCACATGCCAACCAAGACAACAAGGATGATATACTTGCGCTGAAGTTGTCATCGTCTATAACTATGGCCTCGGAGAATACTAGCTCATTGTCTAATGAGGAGTCAGCAAACCTAACCAGTGTCTCTTCTCTATCTGTTAAAGGTCAGTTTTCAGGAATCTGAACAACCGTGCTTCCTTGCTTGTTCTATATGTTTATCACACTTTGCAATCTGCAGGAAGTTCTAGAAAATAGTAAGAAATTGAATGGAAACTTCAAAGGACATATTCAAAGAAATTTGAAGCTATGTTTCTTTGCATGGTGAAAAGTTGAGCAATTTTAATATATTAGATAAATAATGTTAATTAAAATTAAACTTTCACACCTTCTGATATGAATGTTTCTTTGATTGTCAGCTGCTAGTGTAGCTTCTCAATGGTTGGAACTCCTTCATCAAGACACTAAAGGGCGTCTTGCTGGTAATGTACTGCTTATCATTGAAGATTTTACTCATCTTTGATTAGAACTCCCTTATACATGTATGGTTATGTACTGCTTTCTGTACTTGCAGCATTGCGACGCAGTAAGAAGAGAGTTCAATCTGTGATTCATACAGAATTGCCTTTCCTAATGTCACGGGAATTCTCATGTAATCAAGAGAATGATCCATATGTTATGAAAAATTCTGCTGCTGGATGCTCTGACAATGCAAGTGTGCATGCTGATGTGCATCAAGCTAGGTGGAGTGCTCTATTTGAACAGATGGATAAAGGCCTTTCTGAAGAAGAAAAACAACTGGTGAGTCTCTAGAAGAATGGTCTGTTTGGATATATTCTAAAGATGAAGACCCTTGGTCTAAGCTTCAGTCCTGTAGGACGGGTGCATGTGCATCATCATGAAACTTGAAATATATTTGAATTTGAATTCCTCCCGCAAATAACTTAGGTCAAATCAGATCATTATAATCACTTGATTCACAAATTTAGTAGATAACATGGATGAGGTGAAGTAATTCTGTGAAGTAATTCTAAGTCCTCTAGCATGACAGTCACTGTTAGAATTTGCATGATGGACAAGGCATTATTGCAAATCCAAGCAAACTGACTTGCTAATCTGTTTGAATGGCGTGATTTTGTGAGAAATGATGAGAACGAGAACTGTTTTCTCATGCTTGGTTTATAAGTTAAGTGAGAAATGGAAAGAAAGTGAACTCTGTTACTACTAAGCCTATTCTATTTCAATTTGGTGAAAAACAAATTGATTGGTTGTAAAATATTTATAATACCAATATTGCCCCTTAAATTTCAAAAAGAAGAAAATGAAATCTCACTCATATCCCTCTATCACGAGATTTGCTTTCTTACCCATCCAAACATGACAGTAAGAAAATACAATTATTTCTTTTTTTTTCTCACCTCGACGAGAAACCACAATCATTTCTTTCTTTTCTCACCCTACGATCCATAGCTAGTGTAAGTATTAACTTCCAACTTCATTGGTTCCTCAGCCCAAATTTTTCCATTTCAAAACCTTCAAATGGAGGGTGATGTTTCCCTTTTTCTCCTAAGTTCCTATTAGGAAGGAATCTTTAAGTTGATTATGTTAGCAATTCTCCACCAGGACTTTTGTGTGTATAGTTGTCATAAAATGAGGAAATTGACTTCTTGTTATTTTATTTTTCTATGACAAATAAGGCCCTTTTTCCTTCGAAGAAAGAAAAATTCTTACCACAATTTTCTTGTGTACTGAAATATTATTCAGCTGTCCTTAATTTCTTCTTGATACTTTATTTCTTATTTTTTTTCCAAGAAAAGTATAAACATTTTTTTCCCCATTTTATGATTTTAATTTCAGGAAAGTTGGCTGAATCAAGTGAAAGAAATGCAGCTCCACTGTGAAAGAGGCCTACAACATTTCCATTATAGTGCATTCCAAGATTCACAATGGCTGGGAACATCAGATAACAACTCCAGGTAAAGTTCAGTGTGCTTAAAAGGCACAAATTGCTTTTAGATACCTTCCTATATTGTACATGGACATCACAAACAAATAAAAAAAATGTCTAAATGGATGCAGTAGATTTACAGTTATCTTTCTAAGTCCAGATGCAATATTGGAATTACGATCTCCTAATTGCAATTCTGCTCCGCTTTTTTGTTGATATGGTCTCCTAAATGCAATACAACTAGTCTGTGGCACAATTCATCGGGAGAACATGTTGTCTGAGGTGAACCATTCATATCATTACAATGTAAATAAAACATATATAATATATCCTGCAATAATCACCCTGGCAACAACAAACAGTTTATTGAAATGACTAGTCCTCTACTTCCCTTAGATGAACAATTTGCAATTGCAAAATGTGTCCCGGTTTCAATATTTTCTTTTATATTCTCCATTTTTCTTTCAGGTCAACATATTTTTGCTCAATGTTACTTACAGCTATTCAGTTTTGACATCAGCATACATGAGATATAGTTTGAAATCTCCACAAAACTGTAGGTTCATACCTTACAAGTATATGATGCCTTTTAACTCAAACATGGTAGTATAATCTTACAGCTGTTCTCAACTTGGATTGGTAGTATCACTGGCTGATTCAAATTATTCCTATGTACATCTCAGTTATTCAAATCATTGTGAAAGTTTTGAATCATTTTACAATTTCATCATTTATGTGTCATGCAGATTAGAGGAAGTGAATAACTCAGAAAGGGAATTAGCCATTACGGCAGCTGCAGCTTCCATTTATTCAACATGCAACTTTCTGTTGTCAACAGAAAATCTACCTTGCTTCTAATTGTCTTGACTCCAATACACCTCCTATCAACCTAGGTCTAATTATACTGATTTTTCTCTCTTGATTCTAGTCTTGTTCATCTCCATTTGCTTTTGGCAAATTGATGAATAGGTCTGTTAGCAGAGACGGCGTTGTGGAGTTGTTGAGTTTGTTATAGTGTAACATTAGAAGATATCATTTATGTTCAATTCTAATTGTCAGTCATTCTCACATTGGAGACAAACTTATTGTTGTTTAGAATTTTAACTGTTGGAATCAATGAATTACTGCTTAATAATGTGTGATGTTATGCTCTTTTGTCTATGATTTTATCCCTTCTGCTGGAGAAGCTTTCTGGAATAGAAATCATCGGGTTAAGTTTTCAAAATTTGTTATATATATTTAAAAGTTAGATGGTGAAAAAAATAACACATTACTCTCATTTTTGGGGGCAAAAATAATTGTATAAACTAAAAGAAATTATGTTTGTTTTGTCAAACTAATTTTTAACCAAGCAAAAAAAAAATTAGAAAATAAATTCTAACAACTCAATCAAATAAAACTGTTTACAAGTTGAATAGTTGGAAATGAGTTGAGTAATAAATTGTTTTGAAAACTTAATAAGTTATAAAAATATTTCCAAGCTTGATTTTATAATGTATAAATGCTTATTGAGTCCATTTTAGTTTTAAAAAATTTCACAATGTGTCCAAACAGATATATAATGAACCGATTTTGAACTTGCTTTAAATGAGCGGAGTACGAGTCAAACTCGAGACAAGCAGTTGAGCCACGCACACATGAAAACAACAAAGACCAACAACCTTTCAAATTTCTATGTAAGCACCAGCAAAATACAAAGCTACTGCTTTTGACATTTTAAACAAAATTGATACCATAATTCATATCTGAAAACTCATTCGAGGGTTTCGTAAATTGCAAACAACATGCATCTAAATTTTACAAGGCCTAAATATGACATCTGCATGTAAGGAACACAACAAAAATATTACAAGAAAACCTCATAAGCGATAAAGCTAATTGAATACAGGTAACAGATTGTAGCTACCTCTGCAACTCTACAGCCAGTTTGGTGTCATCTTGCTTGTTGCTGGCTTTGAGGATGGATTATCCGGAACCTTCGCAAGTGAGCGATACTGCAATTTCACACTCTCTGCATTGTCCAATGTCTTTACCACATACCTGAACATTTTTCTTATTAGTGTTGAGGAGCCAATAAAGAACTAGGAAAACAAGGGTCATTCCAGAGAATGCAGATAAAATTGCAAAGACAACACCTCAGTTCAGGGGAGCTTCTATTTTTACACCAAAAAACTTCTCAGTTCACACCATTTTACCTGTTCAAATATCAACTACCGAACAATAACCCAATTCGATGGTTGATATTTGAACAATTGATTTTTGTTCCGTAGTTGATATCCAAACGGACAAAATGGTGTGAACTGAGAAAAAGTGAGGTGAGCTACTAATAGAAGCTCCCTTAGTTCATTTATGATTTTCTGTCTATTCTCTCTCTTCCTCCTACGCTAGTTCCTACGCATTCAAACTCATATATTCACTTAACGACACTCATGAGATGAACTGTAAGGCGTGGAAAGTAAATCATATTAACGTGATACTGACAATGATAAAGGTTTCAATAGCTTCGCAATTAAAATAAGTGTGACAGAGTATAAACACCACTAACCATCCATTCAAGCATTGTGTTGTTACTGTAGCCTCACGTCCAACAAAATGTTGCGGTGTCCTCTTGTTACCCTGATTCATTTTCTCTAGTTAGTAATTATAACTTAAATGATAATTATGCACGGGACACAAAACTTGGGTCTTCAAAGAATACCATTATAATAACCCGGTCAGCCACAGCAAATGGGAACTGAACCCCTCTTCTCCTTGGATGATCCATGGGCATTGGATCACCATAACTACCCTTGTCCTATATGAGAGCACAACAAAATTTTCTGAAATGTGTAAGGGTAATGTAAGGGCAACAAATCCTGGCAGAACTGTCTACAAATAGAGACAAACCAATGATGATTAGAAACCAAAGAATATTCATAAGCACATCATGGGTGACGAGGATGCAACACAAGGACAGGTCAGTCATACTAAAAAATAAATAATAAAAATAAAAAAATACCAATCAGTAATCATGTAACATTTTTCTTTGTTCTCTTTTTGATGAGTAACTGTGTAACACATTATAAGCTGCCGCCAAATCCTCTAATTAGGCATGCTTATCCACGCTACTTTAGGATATGTTTAAACGGCAGGAATGAAGAAATGAAATAGGAATCTAATTCCATGTCTGCTTCATTCCATTGTTTGGGTGCATCCAAGACATGCCATTCCAAGTTACCTTTCAGAGGCAGAATGAGATTGCACCAAGTAAAAATCTTATTTCTACACCCAACACCTCGATGGGAATCTCACATTGCTAGGGCATTCAATATTTAAGAAAAAAAAAAGGCGGGTTCCATTTTTATTATCATATCATTTTCCCATACAGGACTGTAAGAATATTAGATTTGATTTATATATGATAGTATATATATTTTGTATATATTTGGGATTGAGTGAATAATCCATGTTTTCTTTTTCGTTCTAGGGTTAGACTGTTATATAAGCCAATGTATTCTTGTATTACACACACAATTGAATATATCGTTTCATTCAGAAAATTTACAAGGTATTAGAGCTGTGTTTAGAATCCTAGCCTTTGATTTTTGGTTCAAAGTTTCTCTTTCTGGTTGATCGATTGAAGCTCTAATCTCAAATTCCTGGTTCGTCAATCGAAGCTTTCTCCCAAAAGTCGCAACACCAAGTTGTTCTCTCACTCAACTTCTCTCGTTCTCTAGTTCATTCTATCTTGAAGGCGTCGTCTAGTCGTTCGACCCTCTGGTTCAACGTTGTGCATCATCTGGTTCATTGAAAGTCAAGTCAACCCATCTGCTTCGGTTCATCACGATCCATCAAGTCGTTTGACTCATCTTGCTTGTCTGAATCTCGATTTGATCACTTGCCCATCTTCTTCTTCTCTCTCTCTCTCTCTCTGTTCGTGATTCTCTGAGGATTCTAAGGATTAAAAAAAAAAAAACTCTTATTTACAATTTGGCCCATCTGTTATTTAATTATTATACTTCAACCTGTTAGTCAATTGGTTCATTACAATGTTGTTTGATAAGATTGTTAGGCCCAAAAATAGGTCACTGACTTCAGATGAGTGTGCCTTCTGCCATCAAAAAGATTATTGGAAATATCACTATCCCAAGAAGGGATGTTTATCTGCCTCGTCTTCTCAGCAGTCTCAGACCCAGTTTTTCCCTTCTCCTCTGAGTAATTTCCGGGCTCTCGCCACTTATACTGCATCCACTCCTGTTCTTAATCCTGATATGGCTTCCTTGAGTGCTCCGATTGCTCAGGTTCAGTGTATATTATCTACCTTCCAACCCTCCCCGTCTACCTCAGTTGTTTCCTCAGGTTTGCTTGGGTCTTCTTCAAGTATCTCTTCATTTGTCTGGATTTTTTACTCTAGTGCCTCTGATCACATGACTCATCATCTCTTCTTACTCCAAAATTATACTCCTCCTCCCTTTCCTATCACTGTCAATGCTGCTAACGGGTTTAGTATGTCTGGTATATCTATTGAGTCTGTCCTACCATCTGTTATGTCTGTTATCTCTATTTCATCTATCTTATATGTTTCTCAGTTATCTGTTAGTTTATTATCTATCAGTCAGCTTGATGTCTTCGGTTTTGATGTTATCTTTTCTTCTTCTATCTCTTCTGTGTAGGATCGAATGTCCAAGCAGCAGATTGGGATTAGCTGTAGAATTAGAGACCTCTATGTGGTGGAAAGCCTATGACTACCTCTCGGACTGTCTTTTCTTCTTTTCAATTAGATTCTCTGTCAAGTCATTTCTATTTGTGACATTCCAGATTATGACATTTGTCTACAGACCACATATGATCTTTAGCTCAGTCAGGTATATTGGGTAAAGTTTCTCCTAGTCAACTTAACGAGTATCGGGAGTGTAAACTTGCCAAAATGACAGCCTTATCTTTCCGTAAAAATATTTTTATATCTGATACACCGTTTTCTTTAATTCATACTAATGTCTAGGGTCCTTATCTTGTTCTCACTAAAAGGGATTCTGTATACTATGTGTCATTTGTTGATGACTGCACTCATTACACTTGGGTTTATCTTATGACTCATATGTCTGACTTCTACTAGATATACCGTACTTTTCAGTCTGTGGTCACTACACAGTTTGGATCTACTATTAAATTATTAGAGTCTGACTTGGGTGGAAAATATTTTAAAACTGAGTTCTATAAGTATTTAGCCAATTTAGGTACCATTCATCAGACTTATTGTACTGATACACCTGCCCAAAATAGTCGCGCTGAACATAAATATCGTCATCTCCTTGAGACAGCAAGGTCTCTTCTTCTCTCTGCCTCTGTTCCGGCTCCGTTTTGGGATGAGGCAGTTCTTACTGTTTCTTTTCTTCTCAACCATATGCCTACTTCCATTCTCTCTGGTCAGTCTCCTTATAAAGCTTTGTTTTCTCAACTTTCCAATTACTCCCCTATTCGTGTGTTCCGTAAAGATAGGACCAAACTGAGTGCCCAGTCTGTCTTGTGTGTTTTTTTGGGTTACAGTCTCACTCAAAAAGATTATCGCTGTTATGGCCCTGTTTCCCGTCGCCTATATGTCTCCCTCCATGTTGCCTTTCTTGAACGTCTACTTTACTTTCAACTTCCTTCTCTCCCAGCCCCAGTTTCCAAAGAGGATTTGGTTCATATTGATCCATTTCCTTCTGAGGTCCCTCTTAATGAGTACATCTCTACTATTTTCTATGAGCTTGTTCCCTCTTCTTCTTGTCCCCCTCACATGATGAGTCCCTCTTCCCTAACCCCTATGAGTTTGTTTCCTCTTCTTCTCCTCGTCTTCCCCCACCTACTCCTTCTCCTCCTCTATTGTTAGTCTATTCTCGTCGCAAGACTCTTCCTCCACTAGTTGTCTCTGTCCCTGCTGCTGATCTCCCTGCTTCTGACGACTCTAATCTTGCTAACCGTAAGTATCATCTTCACATCTGTAAACAGGTAGTCAAACTTGGTTTTGCTAAAACATGTTTTTCTCCTTCATACTACACCTTTTTGTCTGCTATTTACTCTTTTTCAGAACCCCAGTCTTGCAAGGAGGCCTGTTAGGATCCTAATTGGATTCGAGCTATAGAAGATGAGTTGTCTGCTTTGTAAAAGACTACTACTTGGGAGTGAGTTTCGTTGCCTACTGGCAAAAATCTGGTTGGTTGCAAATGAGTCTATAAAGTCAAAACTCACTCTGATGGTTTTCTTGAGCGCTACAAAGCTTACCTGGTTGCCAAAGGTTTCTCCCAGGAGCATGGTATTAACTATAAGGAGAACCTTTACCTCTATTGCCAAGATGATTATTATTCGTACTTTGATTTCTGTTACTGCTGTTCATCATTGGCCTCTCTATTAAATAGATGTTAAGAATGCCTTTCTCAATGGCCATCTCAGTGAAGAGGTTTACATGCATCCTCCCCCTGGCCTTCCTCATTCCTTTAGATAGGTTTGTCGTCTTCGGCGTGCTCTGTATGGTTTGAAGCAATCCCTTCGTTCTTGGTATGATCGCATTCAGGCCGCTATCACTCAACTTGGGTTTCATCCTTGTGCTCAGGATTCTGCTATGTTTCTCCTTCACACATATGCTGGTTTTGTTGCCCTGTTACTATATGTGAATGATATGATTATTACTGGCTCCGACTCTTCTGCTATCTCTAAGGTCAATCTCTTCCGCACCTTCGAAACGAAGGACCTAAGCCCATTGAGCTATTTTCTTGGTATTGAGGTAGCTTCTTCTCCTAAAGGCTACTTTCTGTCTCAAGCTAAGTATGCAAATGAGGTTATTCACTATGCCGGTCTTACTGACACTAAGATTTCTCATACCCCCATTGAGCTTAATGTAAAGCTTAACATTACTAATGGTGTTCTTCTGGATGATCCTACTTTATATCGAGGACTTGTGGGTTGCTTAGTCTAACTGTCACTCACCCTGATCTTACCTATGTTGTTCATGTTGTTAACCAGTTCGTTTCTGCTTCTCGTTCTACACATTGGGTTGTTTTAGTTCGGATTCTTCGCTATCTTCGAGGTACTATATTTTAGAGCTTACTGTTGTCTTCTACTTCCTCTTTGGCCTTGGTGACTTATGCTGATTCTGATTGGATTGGCGATGTCACTGATCGCAAGTCCACGTTTGGTTTCTCTTTGTTTCTTGGCGATTCATTAATCTCTTAGAAAAGTAAAAAACAAACTATTGTTGCTCGCTCTACTGTCGAAGTTGATTACCATGCTACTGCCGAGATTGTTTAGCTTCGTTGTCTTCTATCTAATTTGGGTGTACCTCAGTCTTCTTCAACCTCTCTCTATTGCAACAACCACAGTACTATTCAGATTGCCCATGAGTAGACGAAACATATTGAGATTGATTGTCACTTAGTCTGTCAACATCTACAGTCTAGCTTTATTTCACTTCCTTTCGTCTCTTCGGCTCTACAACTTGCTGATTTCTTCACCAAGACTCGCACCACTGCTCGGTTTCAGTTTTTTCTTAATAAACTCTCAGTATTTTCTGCTAAAACACCTTGAGTTTAAACGGGGGTGTAAGAATATAAAATTTGATGTATATATGATAGTATATATATTTTGTATATATTAGGGATTGAGTGAATAATTCGTTTTCCCTTTTTCGTTCTAGGGTTAGATTGTTATATAAACCAATATATTATTGTATTACACACAAAATTGAATATACAATTTCATTCAAAAAACTTACAAGGACTTCTAACTAATCCAAATTCTGACCTTGACACAAGAATCTTCTTACTAGTGATGGAATTTTGAGTAATCTCCCATTTTTATATTTGATTCATGTCATCCAAACATAGTCTCAAATTCTTAATCAAATCAAAAGGAAAAAAAGTTAGGATGCAACAGTTTCAGATGTTAAAAATTTTGGAATCATGAATAGACAAACCTGTTCAAATCTCTCTCTTCTTCTTTTGGATGAGTGACAAACTTGTAACTCTTCTTCCCGAAGGAATGCCTGGACAGCGGATCGGAGAGCTATAATAAAAAGAAAATGAAGGAATAAGCACTTTTCCTCCAAAACCTTTCCAACTTCTACAAATACACAAGGTATGAAGCTGCCTAGAAGATGCAACAAAATTGTTCAATGAAAAAATGAGAGCAGTATCATTAGAGTTAGTAACAAAAATGAAGCTGAAGGTAAATGTGTGTGTGTGTGTAATAATCAGGTTGTTGCAACGTCAAACTTGTAAGTCGGATTTTGAACTTCACATGTCCATGATGACTAATCATAAGTGTGCCTTTTGTGTTTGGTGCTTTATTGACGTTGGAAGTGATTTAAGGAAAAGATTACTAGCATGGTGGACTTGCTACAAATTGGTTCATCATCATAATATGAAACCTTCAAGAACCAATCTAATATCCCAAGTTATCTAGACTCTAGAGAACAACTTTTTGCCGAACCTAGAACCATGGGCCACAAATAAAAAATAAATAAATAAATAATGAACCATAGAATGGATGTTAGTGTCTCAAACTATGAATTGATACAAAAACTGGAATCAGCTGCCAAAAAAAAACAAAGAAGCAAAAATAAGAGCATCCACATTTTGTGGTACAAGCATTACAAACTTCCCACCTGTGGAAAATATGAATTAGCATTCAGATATGTAGTAGATGCATATCAAAATTCTTTAATAATGATTACATACTTACAAAGATTTGGTGACACTGATTCTTCTGATACTGGTTGGGAACAGGTGTAGCAAGCTTTCTGCAAATGCATTGCATAAAATCAAAATTGAATCACCAACAACAATTCCCAAATCGACAAATAGATGCCATGTCAATTTCTAGAAATCAAGATTTCCATGCAAATTAGCCAAAAATACCAACAGCAAGCAGAGAAGGAATGTACTGAGAACTAAATCATATCATAGGAATCAAAATAAATATGTACCAAACATTTGTGTCTTAGCAAATAATTTAAATGTGTTGCTCACAAATGCATCCTCATGTCTAGACAGGGGCATCAATAACAGCATCATTGTTGACATTCTCAAGCAATAGATATTATATTACTCTGCCCTGGTGTACCTCTAATGCTCCATGCTTCTTTGTTAATCATGGCATTATGAAAAGTTTGGAAACAATTTTTGCAACAAGGATATAAAATTGCCATTTGAGATAGTGGTCATGTGCAATGTCAATCAATTAACACACTTGAAAGAAGAAGTGATCTGATCCAAAGGGACTAAAAGAATAAGAGAAGGCCAGGAAATGGCATGGATGAGGTAAATACCTCATAATTGCATTTGATTAAACAATTGCTGTAGACTTAACTCAGAACATGACTTTTAATAGAGTCAACTAAAGGGAATAGGTTGATGCCCCAAGTAATTGGGAATTGGGATAGAAGCATATTGAGTTGTGTTGAATGTAAAATCATTCAAAAGGATTCATCATCACTTGTTGAAAACATCAGAACTCCAAGAATAAAAACACATGATATATTTCCAAGCTTAATTTGAATAACATGAAAAAAGAATATTTTTTTTTTTAGTATTTGTAATGCCTCCATAAGATGTATCTTACACAATCAAGGTCACAGAAAATGCAGCAAAAAACTGTTTAAAGATGGTGCTTGAATTAGATTCCAAGCATATCATCTTATCCACGGTAGCAAACTAGCATTGCATAAGGAAATCAGTAGTTTGATACATATACTGGTCTGTAGGAGTCAGGTTGAACATTTTGAAAAAGAACCATAATCTAATAATATAAATTGAAGAATTATGAGTAGGGATGGCAATGGATAACCTACCCTATGGGGTATCCATGGAGACCCAACCCAAATACATGGGTTTTTCCCTTTTTTCTTATCCGTCGGGTAGGGTAAGTGATATTTTTTAAATATCCACAGGGGATGAGTACCCACTAATTTCCCCATATGTTTTTCTTTTCTTTTTTTTATAAGATTCACAACCAAAGCTTAATATACATTCAATCTTTTTTCTTTCTTTTTTTTTTCTTTTTTTTTTTTAAAGATTCACAACCAAAAGCTAAATATACATTCAATCTTTTTTCTTTTCTTTTTTTTAATTTTTTTTTTTTTTTAAGGTTCACAACCATTTTTTTTTTTTTTATAAGATTCACAACCAAAGCTAAATATACATTCAATCTTATTTTATTTTATTTTATTTTATTTAGCTCAATAACAAAATCAAATACACATTAACTAACATTGTCACATTATTCTTGTCAAATTTTATATATATCTAGAATTTTTTTAATTTATTTAGAAAAATTCTATTCCTACAAAAAAATTCCATTTTTTTAAATTTTTTTTTAATTTTATGTATCTCATTCTCCTCTCTATTATTTGATCTTCAATAATCTGAAGGTGAGTTATTACTCTCGTTTCCATCCTATTCTTCTTCTTCTTCTTCTTCTTTTTTTAAAAAATTTTATTTACATTTATAGAATGAATTTTCTAGTTTCAATATCTCCTGCAATTGTTTTATTGGATTTCTCTCTGATTTGATGGTAACTTTAGATTGAATTTCTCAATTTCATCTTAACTAGCAATCACCTTAATTAAAATTTTGTACATTTTTGTCTTCAATTTCCATGTTTTGGTTATGATTAATTGCGCATTTTTGATCGATAGTCACAATCTTGTCACCGCTAGATTGTTATCATTGCAAATCGCCATTGTTGTAATGAGAGGATGAGAGAGAGTGAGAATTAGAACTCTAATTGTCAACAAAGTAGTGAAAACTTATGGAGAAATTATTTTTCGATGTACCTAAAAAAAATATATGAGGAAATTAGTGGGTACCCATCCCCGGTTGAAATTTAAAGAACATCACTTACCTTACTCGACGGACAAGAAAAAAGGGGAAACCCAAGTATTTGGGTTGGATCTCCATGGATACCCACATGGTAGGTTATCCATTGCCATCCCTACTCTGTTGACAATTTGAGTTCTAATTCTCACTCTCTCATTCTCTCACTACAACAACGACGATTTGTGATGACGACAATCTAGCGGTGACAAGATTGTGACTATTGATCAAAAACGCACAATTAATCATAACCAAAACATGAAAATTAAAGACAAAAATGTACAAAATTTCAATTAAGGTGATCACTAGTTAAAATGAAAATTGAAAAATTCAATCTAAGATTACCATCAAATCAGAAAAAATCCAATAAAACAATTGCAAGAGATATTGAAATAAGAAAATTCATTCTATAAATGCAAATAAAAATTTTTTTAAAAAAAAAAGAAAAAGAAGAAGATGGAAACAAGAGCAATAACTCACCTTCAGATTATTGAAGATCAATTAATAGAGAGGTGAAGGAGATACATAAAATTAAAAAATAAAAATAAAAAAAAAATTAAAAAGCAGATGGAATTTTTTTTGTAGGAATAGAATTTTTCTAAATAAATTTAAAAAATTCTAGATATACATAAAATTTGAAAAGAATAATGTGATAATGTTAATTAATGTGTATTTGATTTTGTTGTTGAGCCAAATAAAATAAAATAAGATTGAATATATATTTAGCTTTGGTTGTGAATCTTAAAAAATAAAAAATAAAAAATTGAATGTGTATTTAGCTTTGGTTAAGATTGAATTTTTCGAAATAAATTTTAAAAATTCTAGATATACAGAAAATTTGACAAGAATAATATGACAATATTAATTGTGTATTTGATTTTGTTGTTGAGACAAATAAAATAAAATAAGATTGAATGTATATTTAGTTTTGGTTGTGACTCTTAAAAATAAAAATAAAAAAAATAGTTGTGAACCTTAAAAAAAATAAAAATAAAAAATAAAAAGAGATTGAATGTATATTTAGCTTTGGTTGTGAATCTTTAAAAAAAAAAAATTTTAAAAAAAAGGTCAAGTTGGGTTGGGGAATATCCAAACCCATTAGAAGATGGGGAGGGTAGTACCCATGGGGAATGGGGAATGGGAAAAAATAATTATAGGGGAATGGGGATGGAGAATTAATATCCACCCCATTAACCCCCATTGCCATCCCTAATTATGAGTGTGTCTGCAAGTGATAGAATGTCAAAAGTGCATTACCCATCAGCAGACACTTGGACACGCAATGCTTGTCAATTCATGCATACACACCACTGGATGGTTTGCTACATAATTCCAGAGACTGAAATAATTGAAAAAATCAATCTAATAATAATACATGTTCGTTAAAAACTCACCATTCTAATAATATGCTGTATTCCGCCACTTCCAAAGGAATGCCCGCAAGGCAATATCATGGCATCATCCATAAGCTCTCCACTGTCAACCCAGAATTATTGCACAATGAATGCTTTTAGTCACCAAAAATTATAGAAAATGAATCAGTTGTAATAATACTCCAGCATAAGAAGTAGCAAAATACATATGCAGTTATCCCCCCCTTTGAAACTTTATGGGGAACTGATCCCCAAGCAGCCAAGAAGATCAACAGAGAGGTCACCTGATCTATGGCACACACTAAGGGCTATTCCAATTTGACAAATAGGGTATCAGATATGTTAGATGATGGATAATAAAAACAATGTTGGTAAAATCTAGAAAATTAAGTAAGGTTGCTCCATTGTGACATGGGCATCATGGGTTCAAAACATAGAAGCAACATCTCCACGTGTGGATAAGGCTACGTACATTTGACCCTTCCAAAATTCCAGTTCCAGCAGTGGTGAGAGTCATTGCATGCCCTTTATAAATAAACAAGCAATTTATATGCATGCATACATATATATACAACAACTCAACTCAAATTATCCGTTACAGAAAATATTTGGAGTCTGCCATATAATCCTGATTTGCCATTTTATTCTAAGGCGCTTTATTAAATCCAGGCCCATAGAGTCTGCTGCTCTGTAGATTTGAAGTAGCATATTTTATCTGTATGCCATGGTATTACAATCTTTTTGATAATGCAAAATCACCTAGCAAAAACAGTAACAAGAACCCGAAGGAGTAAATGGATGCGATGTGTTTGAGGCAAGTTGAGTTTGACACACTAATGGATCCAGAAATACAACATTTATTGATAACACTCTAGTACACAAAACACTTGTATACAATCACACACTACTACACTTCACTTATCCACCCACAAATACATTCATGCACTCACACTTTGTGTCTTCCTCACACAAGACCTTGAGACACCTCACACTAGATAGTGCTTGACCACTCACTTTGGACTCACTTTTCTTTCACTTAATTGTCCAATTACTTAGTACATGCACTCATCTCATATTTATACTAGTTAAAGAACTTTCTAGAATACACTCATACTTAGCCTACACTCTAGAACAATCTAGATTACTTTAATATATATTAGAGCTTTCTATTTTTCTCTAAAATACTCTAGAACCCTCCGGAACTTTCTAGATTTCTCTAGTTTTCTCCAAACTTCTTTAATGTTCCAGAACCTTCTAAGATATTGTAGAATCTTCCGGATTTATCTAGGTCTTTCCAAAATTTTCTAGATCTTTCCGGAGTATTCTAGATTCATGTGGAAACTTCTAGAATATTCTAGAGAGAAGATTCCAGAGAGTGAAGAGAGTTAGTGATGATGACACTCAACACTCCACCTCAACACTAACTCTCTTTTCTGGATTATGTAACCATGCCACGTTGTTTCAGAAACTCTTCGTGAGTGTATCTGCACCCTGGTCCTCTGCCACGATAAACTTTGTCTCCATCTCTTCCAATACTGACTTCTCTCTTTTGAAATGATTTATTCTTCTATGGAACACCACGTCCTCAGCCAACTGTAGGATTCTCATCCTCCAATTTAGATAGCGAGCGCCATGTTTGAATATGTGTTGATACATCAATATCTTCTTTTGTTGTCTTCCTCCAATTGTTAAATTTTGTTGTTTCTTGAAATGTTATTGGTTCCTTTATATCATCTATCTTAGCAAAGGTTGCATCAACATACCTTGGATTAGGTTAGCATTGCCTTGTAGAAATTGGATGTTGCAACTTTATCACTTCTTCTGTTTGCTCCCCCAACTTCTCTAGTAGGTGAGCTTCTGAATCTTTAAATGTTGAAGACTGAGACTTAGTTACAAGAATCAACTTATCTATGATAGAGTGTGCATCCACTTACTTGGTAACTGCATTGCATTGCTCATGTACGCCTTCATTGAAGTCTATCTCCTCTTCTGAATCTGCTTCAATAACTACAAACATTATACGAGATGCTTCAAAATCCCATTCTTCAAATTCTGGATCTTCTTCTAAGTAACCTCGTCCCACGGTCTTGAACATTGCACATGAAACTTGGAAATCCCATTCTTCTTCACTTTCATCTTGGTAACCATTAGATGTCACCATATTACCTTCAATTGGCCTTCTTCTTAACCGATAATCTTTTGCATAGTGGTCAATCTTGCCACATTTGAAACACTCTATGTTGCGTCGTCCAAATCTAGTAGCTCTTCGATCATTTTCATCATGTCGAACTCTCCCTCGTTGATAACTTCGATCATCTTGTGATTGTTCATCTTCTTCTTTCTTCGATTTTCTATATTCTTGCCACTTCGTTCCATCTCTTTTCTTGCTACTGAATAACGCCTATTCTTCACTTTTATTCTTCAGTGTGACTCTAGCCATTTGTTTTGCTAGAGTTTCTTGATTCACCAATAGACTTTCAAGCTCGACCAGTGATGGTTGAGTGGACCATCCTCTGACAGCGGCCATAAGCCCACTATACTAGAGTCTTAAACCTCAAGTAATAATGCGCCTCATTCTTGACTCGCTAATTTGACTCAGAATCAAGTTGTGAAATTTCATTACAAAGAGTCTTTATCTTGACAAAATATTGGCTGATAGTCATTGATCTTTGTGCCACCGCTGTAAGCTCGTTCTCTAAATACTGAAATCGTGCATCATTTGTCTTCGAAAATAACGCCGCAAATGTGTCCCAAACTAATTTTGGAGTCATAGCCTTCCGAACATACTCCAATAACTCTTTCTGAACAGTTGTCCTTAACACGAACATCGTTTTTCCAGCCTTACTCAGCCACTTTCGCAAGGCCTCTGCATTTTCTTCTCCAGGTAACGCAGTTTTCTTGCCGTCAACAATCTCCCATAGATCCTGTCCTTGAAGATATGCCTCAACGCACATTCGCCAATAATCATAATTATAATAATTTAATTTCTCCATACCACCGATGAAGTTTCCGAAATCTGCCATAACAACTGTGCTCGTTGACTTTAACAATCTCTTGTATTGTATCAATCTCAATCGCTCTTTGTGTCGGTCCCCGAACGACCAAGCTATGATACCAAATTGTTGAGTTTGACACACTGGTGGATCCAGAAATACAACTTTTATTAGTAACACTCTAGTACACAAAACACTTGTATACAATCACACACTAATACACTTTACTTATCCACTCATAAATACATTCATGCACTCACACTTTGTGTCTTCCTCACACAAGACCTTGAGAATCCTCACACTAGATAGTGCTTGACCACTCACTTTGGACTCATTCTTCTTTCACTCAATTGTCCAATTGCTTAGTACATGTACTCATCTCATATTTATACTAGTTAAAGAACTTTCTAAATACACTCTGTGGAGAAGTGGTTTTGGAAATACTCTTCAGATCCTGAGAGACGCTAGTGATCCTCAGCTAGTTACCTGAAAAGGCACAAACACTCCGGTCGGGGGTGTCGGAATAAGCACTCCGACGGACAAGTTAGTTCAGACACTCAGAACAGCTTGTTTACCAAATTTAGTGAAATGATTCTTACATACCTTTCTAAATCTATGGTTCTTGTATTTATACTTGCTTTTTAGGCCTCGGGGCCTGAGCCTACTTTTATCCCATTCCTCTTTTATTCATTCGGAGCCACTGACCTCCGTCTATTCGACTTTCCTAACGTATTCGGCATCCTAGTCACGCAATATGAAGCCGGATAGCATCTAATTTCTAGAGTACACATCTTCCGACTCTTCTACTTATTCGGCTCCCACAATTGCCCCCCAAGCACTTCACCGACGACAGTTGGTCGGAGTGCTTGGTTTTGAATTCCTAAAAGTCGGAGCCAAAATTCGGCGATTGGCCTCATCCTCATGCGGATATCTAAGCGCACCCCTTTCGGTTGTCGTGTCGACTTCCCGCCCCCCTCGTACGTGTCTATTTATTGCGATTTAAAATTTCGACGTCCTTTCAAGTATGTATTTTATGATGCTCATCGCTGGATTGCCTTTTGGATTGTCCCTGAAACTCTCTTCTCCGATATCCTCTTCGTCCTTTGTAAGTTCTCTCCTCCCTTGCTTCGAGGACTCTTTCTAGTTTATTCCTTCCTTGGCATATTCTCATAGACTGTAGGGTATGGCGAAACATTTAAAAGACCTCCTCTCGTCAGATCGTATTGCTGGCTTTAAACGCCATTTCTCCATTCCTGATGATGTCCGTCTGTCGCTTGTGGCAGACGGCACTCTTGATATGGAGAGGGAGGACGAAACCACGATTGTCTTTCCTCTTTTGTCAATTGCAGAGGGTGGAGTCCGTTTCCCCCTTCACCCGTTTCTTAGGGTTGTGCTTCGCCATTGGAGTTTAATCCCTTCCCAATCTAATGTGAATTTCTTTAGAATCATAATGGGGGTTATAGCGCTCAACCGTCGCCTAAGAATTAACCTTGGCGTTCCAGCTATCCGGCATTGTTATGCCTTGGCTAAGTCTTCTGGTCGGCACGGGCGTTTCTTCCTTAGGGCCAAGGATATCGACCATCAATTGATTACTATGCTTTCCAGTTCTGGAAAATGAGTTGATGATGTTATGGTCGTTGTTCAGGGTAACTGGGAATTTGGCGAATGGGAGGATCACGTCGACCCTATTCCTAGACGGAGGGGCGAGCCAGGTGGCTGATTGCTTTCTCGCTTTTATTATTTGTTCGTTTTTGTTGTAAAGCCTCTTCTTTGAAATGTTACGGCTTGGTTTGTGCAGGGAGAAATTTGAAGAAAGTTCTGTCTTCAACTGACGGCGCCGTTCTTTCAGATATCGAAGTCGCGGTCAAATATTTCGACCGTTGAAGTCTTCAGAAACAAGGCAGGGCGGCCCACATTCTGCTTCGTTACGAGCCGACATATACGACCTTCTCAGCGGCAGAAAATATCCCGGTTTCGGAGGGTGAACTCTCTCATCGCTCTTATTTTGTCCGACTTCAAAAACTTGAGGCAGGTTGGTTTTGAAGGGTCAGATTCGGAGCGGGGTGTAGCTAATGTTACCGAATCAGATCAGTCCGAAACCGAGTCTGGCGCGGTATTGAATTCGGCTGATCCCCCATCCGCTTCGAGCCAAGGGGATCTTTCGCTTGACAGCGTTTTTCACGGCTTAGACGATATTCCCACCGCAAACCCCGAAAATATGGTCGGGTTAAGCTTGACAAAACTTGCCAGGAAGGCGAATGCGAAGAGGTTGGCCGCGCGGCGAAAAGCGGAGGCCCTTCCGTCTGAAGTACCACCCGCCACCGAATCTCAATTCTCCCTGCCTGTTAGCGAATCAGAGTCCTTGCGCATTATTGAGGTGGAGACGGCGGAAAATCGGGATGCCGAATCTACTTTGATCGTGCAGGCCGGCCAAGAAGTTGAGGCAGAGAAACGACCTGCCGAGTTTGAAGTCGGCGTAGAAGAACATGGCGGCAAACATTCTCGATTACAGGGATCGGATGTGATCGTTCCTTTTGTCATTCAGCCAATGATAAAAAAAACATGCCGGTTTCTTCTGATGCTTCGGCGCTTAAAGATCCAGAAGTCACATTCAGCTTGACTACGTCCGTGTTGTTGCCGTCTGACAAGGAGGCTTTCCGGGTGGAAACGGATATGAATGCGACAGCACTAGCCGCCCAATTGGCACTTTTGGTACATATTCGAACTTAGCTTCACTTAATCCAAATACTGTTGAAGTTATGGTTTTAAATTCTTGTTTTACAGACTGTCGAATGGATAGCCGATATGGGCCATCGCCATCGCGACGCCGTCAAACAGATTGGTCATTTACGCGAGGAAGTTGAAGGCCAGAGGAGAGGGGCCGAGGTCGAAGCTTTGAGGGCGAACAAGGAAGCCTCAAAGGCCGACGCCGATATGGAGAAGGCTCGTTGCGCGGATCAATTGAGGTCGGATGCCGAGAAGAAGGCGGGCGCGAGCGAAGATGCGCTCAAGTTGGCCCAGAAGGCGATCTCCAAACTGAAGGCTGAGTTGGCTGAAATGAAGGCGGCGAAGGAATCAGCCGACTCGGAGTCTTCCAAAGTATTCGAGGCCGGGAAATGCTGGACTCGCCGAGTACGTGGACCAAGTCCCCAAGTTTGAAAATCGGGGGTTCAAACACGGCTGGCACAAAGCCCTTGCTGTTGCTAATGCTTCATTGATTATGCCAATACCATATGAGCAAGTGGATGTTGAGCCATTGGAGTCTGATCCCGATGGCTGATCCAGCCGACTGACAATTTTTAGGATGTCGAATGTATTTTTACGGTTTTTAATTTAGTATTTTTCATCTTTTGCTACAGTCATAGTGTTTGTTTTTTGCTAGGCATTTTTATGCGGGCTTGTAGCTTTTTGTTTGGTAACTTGAGTATATAAAATTTTATGAGTTGTGCCCAACTGGCTAAGGAAAATGTTGTTGATGAATGTTATTGCTTTTGGTTATGGTTAGATCGGTTGCTTAGCTTAGGTATTTGGCCGATCAGATCTGCCCTTGCCTTAGCCAAGGCGCGAGCTTGGGAAGCCGGATGGGCGTAACACGTGGGCTGGCTGAGGCACACATTGATCGGCACTTGCGCTTGAAAACATGGCCGACCAGATTAGTAAATCTGCCCTTGCCTTAGCCAGGGCGCGAGCTGGAAAGCCGAATGGGCGTGACTCGTGGGCTGGCTGAGGCACACATTGATCGGCGCTTGCGCTTGAAAACATGGCCGACTAGATTAGTAAAGTAAATCTGCCCTTGCCTTAGCCAGGGCGCGAGCTGGGAAGCCGAATGGGCGTGACTCGTGGGCTGGTTGATCGGTGCTTGCGCTTGAAAACATGGCCAACCAGATTAGTAAATCTGCCCTTGCCTCAGCCAGGGCGCGAGCTGGGAAGCCGAATGGGCGTGACTCGTGGGCTGGCTGAGGCACACATTGATCGGCGCTTGCGTTTGAAAACATAGCCGACCAGATTAGTAAAGTAAATCTGCCCTTGCCTTAGCCAGGGCGCGAGCTGGGAAGCCGAATGGGCGTAACTCGTAGGCTAGCTGAGGCACACATTGATCGGCGCTTGCGCTTGAAAACATGGCCGACCAGATTAGTAGATCTGTCCTTGCCTTAGCCAGGGCGTGAGCTGGCCCAGCACGTGGGTTGACGTTTGGGATTATTGACGTTGCCTCGGGAGAGCTGCAAACATTGAAGGATAAATGAGGCGGGTGCACGCCAGAGGCCCTACTTATTTCCATTCAGGCAACTTGGGAGGGACGAACATTGACTGAATCAGACGCCGCAATGAGTCGTAGTAGCGAGCCTACGCGCAAAGGAAGAAGAACGTCGAAGGATCGGGAAGAAGAACGTCATCGAAGCAGATCGCCCCGAAAGGACAGGCAACAACGGGGAAATTCTCCGTGCCCGCGACCGAAAATTGAGCCTGATGCGACGCCACGACCGTTGAGTTTTGCGGTTTTTGTGAGGAATAGACCAATGACAGAAGGGGATTCTATCATTAAAGACTCAGATGTGGCAGTCGAGTTCGCTCGACAAATATTCCCGCCGGAAGTCCAACAATCGATGGTCGGACGTCGAGATTTCAAAGTATTTCGAGACGGCATACATGGGACCATAAAAGGGCTATATACTTCTTACAAAGTCGGCATGCGTCTGCGGGAAACGCGACGTGAGAGCGAGAGAAAGGACGAAAAGAATCGCAGCCTGGAAATTCGCGCAGAAAAGGCTGAGCGTGAGCTTCGGGAGCAGAAGAATGTTCAAACGAGCGCGTCAGTGGCGGCCAGTCAATCTAAATTAGTTGTTGTGGAGAGAGTGACCCAACGGACCTCGAGTTATGAAAAGGGGTTTCAGGACGGCCTGAAGGTCGGGATAGAGAAGACCAAACAGGACCTTGTCGAGGAGGTCTGCCGATGTGAAAATCATGGATTCAAGCACGGCTGGAACAAGGCCCTTCAAACCGAGCAAGCTCTCGAAGCCGTGGGCATTGATTCGGCCTCGCCCCTGTATCATCGCCACTACTTTCCTTATTCCGATTTCGAAATTGAGAAAAGCGACGATGAGAGTGTCGAATGAATAGACTTCGCGCCGAATAAATAGAATTTCTTTTATTTTCAACGTTTGTATTTGGTCTTGAAATGTTATGTTTAATTAATCGTATTATTTCAACTTTCTGACAAGTTTTGTGTTGCGTGGCGTAAATGTTTAAACATGTATTGACCGGCTTGAATTAAGAACGATTCTCCGTGAATATTTATTCGGCCAATGAAGTGGTGCGAATGCATCTCAAAAAAGGTCAATCCGGATTCGGAGCCTTAATCGGCCCTAACGTATCATGCACCGAAAGGGGCTCCAAATCCGGAGGCTTTATTTGGGTCAATCGTGATATCCACGAAGGGCGCTCCAAATGTTTTGAGTATTCCCACAGACGGCGCCAGTTGTGGAGAAGTGGTTTTGGAATACTCTTCAGATCCTGAGAAACGCTAGTGATCCTCAGTTAGTCACCTGAAAAGACACAAACACTCCGGTCAGGGGTGCCGGAATTAGCACTCTGACGGACAAGTTAGTTCAGACACTCAGAACAGCTTGTGTTACCAAATTTAGTGAAATGATTACATACCTTTCTAAATCTATGGTTCTTGTATTTATACTTCTTTTTTGGGCCTCGGAGCCTGAGCCTACTTTTATCTCATTCCCCTTTTATTCATTCGGAGCCACTGACCTCCGTCTATTCGGCTTTCCTAACGTATTCGGCGTCCTAGTCACATAATATGAAGTCGGATAGTATCTAATTTCTGGAGTATGCATCTTCCGACTCTTCTACTTATTCGGCTCCCACACACTCATACTTACCCTACACTCTAGAACAATCTAGACTACTCTAGTACATATTAGAGCTTTCTATTCTTCTCTAAAATATTCTAGAACCTTTTGGAACTTTCTAGATTTCTTTAGTTTTCTCCAAACTTTTTTAATGTTTCGGAACCTTCTAGGATATTCTAGAATCTTCCGGATTTCTCTAGGTCTTTCCAGAATCTTCTAGTTCTTTTCGGAGTATTCTAGATTCATGTGAAAACTTCTAGAATATTCTAGAGAGAAGATTCTAGAGAGTGAGGAGAGTTAGTGATGACTCTCAACAAGCTAGCTAGTCATGGCAGTGCCTCTACCCCAACTATTTATTCCTCTCCAAAATCCCAACACAAGTATTTGGCGAGACATTTAGAATATGCTACAATGAATCTCAATTCTCAATAAACTCTAGATAAAGGTAATTTTTTATGATGTCATTATCTCTCCTCCACCACCCATAACAACAAACATAATAGTTCAATTTCAACATAAGCTAAGTGGACAAACTATTATTTTTTCTACATGTTCATTTGCACAAACCCATCTCAATTGAAGCTTAAACTTCACGGACCAGTCAACCACAGGCCAACAAATACAAACTATGAGCTAAACATAGATAGACCAGGGAAAAAAACTTCCAAAGAAACTTACGTCAGAGGATCGGAAAGAACCATCCACAGAGACTCTCCAGATTCACTTGAATAAGAACCCTCCTTTCTTCCACTAAACCCAACCACTATGCCCTTCTGCCCATTGCTTAACCCCTCTGGTCCCTGCAGATAATGTGAATGGTACAAATCTCGGTCTGGGTCGGCAATTGTAACCTCATTCTGGTACTGATTAAATCGTCCTTGCCGATGATTATCAATCAGAATTGCTCTTGCGTTGCTGTTGTCATTTCCAGAATGCAGAACATTACAATCCTTAATCAGTACACCCCTATTTGACCCAACTGCCACAAATCAACACCAAATAAGCAAACCCAACAAAAGTTAAAAATAAAACTCATCAATTTGGAAACTAAAACCAATTGCGTCAGTATTAGGGCATCTCCAATCCTTAACTTTCACTCATATCAAGTTTAAATTTGAGGAAAAATGCTTAAAATCTCTATCCTCCATTCCTTTACCCAACTCATACCAAAGCAAGTTTTACTCAAATTTTTTACCCAAATCAAGAGAGATACTTTTTTTTCTTTTTTTCTTTTTCTTTTTTTTTTTTAACTCTAATTTCTAAAGACAATTTGGGGTGATATAAAAATAGCTTCTAAATTCACAATAATGTCCCACTTAACAAATCAAATTTTATAGTTAAGTTGTGTTCTGTCTATATGAAATGGAATGAAGTTTTGAGTGAAATTTGATGGGCTTACAATGTATGGCAATGTTGTTGCTATTGTGATTCTTATTATTATCGCTATCATCGTCATCGTCTTGGTCGTCCTCGTACTCATCCTGTTGCTCGTCCCCTGCAGATCTGGTCCTCGCCGACTCTTGGGGTTGAAAATAGCAGAGGCCCTGGTCGTGGAAGGCGAGCTGAGAGGTCAAGCCGTTGTGGAGTCGATGGGGTGGTGGTATTAAGCCAATCTCTTCCGACGCCATTTGAATTTGGGTGGCGTGGCTCACAACCCCAAATTACCCAACTCCAATTGCAATTCGATCAGCTTTGAAATTGATTGAAGGAAGGAGAGAGAGAGAGACAGAGACTGATGCCCTGTTTGGAAATGGCTATTTGGGTTAAAATAATTAATGAAGACAAAATTAATAAAAATAATTAATAAGATAAAATATTACATTTAATTCATAATTATTTTATTTTATTTTTTATAATCATCAAATCAAATATAAAAATTAAAATTAAAAAAAAAACAATCAACTTTTTAAACATAACTTTTTTAATTAAGTTAAAATAATTAAAAAATTAAAAATTCAACTAAAATAACTAACTTTCCAAATAAGACATATTTCTTGAGTTTTCACCTTGGGAGGATAACAATTAACGAACGTCGTCGTACGTTATGATCTGCTAATAATCTTAGACTTTTTTGGGATATTGCCTGTTTTAATTGGTTTTTTTTATTATTATTTTAACTTTATTAAAATAATTGTGTTTGAAAAGATAATTAATTTTTTGTTATTGTCGATTCAATAATACTTCGTAACTCGAAAAAGTTGGCGGGAAGTGATTCAAATACCTAAAATGATGTCGTTTTGAGTTTTTTTTTTTTCCCCCTTTTTCTTGCTTTTGAATACCGATAGGGGGAAGAGAAGAGGAGAGAGAGAGAAAGAGAGAGAGAGAAGAGAAGAGAAGACGAAGAGAAAAGAGGCGAGAGAGAAGAAGGAGAAAAGATGGAGATGGCAGTGATGGCGGAGGAAGAAGAGATGAAGATCGACTGAATGGAAGCCTCTCCATCTTCATTGATTTGTTCATTTCTTGATTTATGAACCGTTTGGTGTAGCTGTTAAAACAGATTATAGCTTATAGCTTAACAGATTATAGATTATGACTTTAATCAGAAGCTGTTAATCTGTTTGGTGTAGCTGTTGGATTATAGATTTAAGTTTCTGAGTAGTGTTTGTTAAATAAGCTGTGAAGTAGCTTTTGCTGTGCAAATGTCTTTTTTACCCTTGTTAGTTGTAAATTGAATTTTTCTAGACTTTTTGCTATTAATTACATATTAAGAGATCATTCCAACACCAAATTAACATAACCCTATCATTTTTAAATAATAATACAATGAAATAAATATTACACAAAAATAAATTTTTATACAATGATTTAAGATTTTTTAAATAATAAATAATAATAACTTGAAATAAATAAATATTATGAAATAAATAATAATACAATGATTTCAGATTTTTTAACATCAAAAATCTTATGAGATAAATTAATTTATTGAAGCTTTTTTTGATTATAGATTTAATTGGTGGTGTTTGAATTAATCTTAAGATAAATAATCTTATGAAATAAGCTATAAAAATTAATCTTAAGATAAATAAATAAATCTAATAAGATAAATAACAGCTGCATCAAAAAAAGCTTCAATAAATTAATCTTATGAAATAAGCTATAAAAATTAATCTTAAGATAAATAAATAAATCTATTAAGATAAATAACAGCTGCATCAAAAAAAGCTTCAATAAATTAATCTTATGAAATAAGCTATAAAAATTGTTAATTTTTTTAATTTATTATTAATCCATTACAATTAATATTAACTAATAATATAAAAATTGTTAATTTTTTTAATTTATTATTAATTAATATTAATTAATAATATTAAAATTGTTAATTTTTTTTAATTTATTATTAATTCATTAGAATTAATATTAATTAAAATATAAAAATTGTTATGAAATGCATCTGGAAGTCCTAGCCAAACCCTACCGCCGGCAGCCCTAGCCACCGCCGGTCACGCCCTTCTTTTCCTTCTCATCCCACACTCCAGCAGCCCTCTGCAATCGTTGATCGCGAAGAGAAAGAGAGAAGCTTGTCGTTGATCGCGATCGCGAATAGAGAGAGACAGTGTTGATCGCGATCGCAACGCTGGAGAGGAGAAGGGTTTCAGATCGCGACGTCGAAAAGGAAAGGAAGAAGGGTTTCAGATCGTGACGCTGGAGAGGAGAAGAAGGGTTTCATCGCGATAGGTTTCATAGCACAGCCAGAAAACAACGTCAGAGAGAGAGAGAGAGAGAGAGGGATCTAGTTCATAACGCCGGCAAGCTCGCCGGAAATCGCCTGTGTCGCCGGAAATTGCCACTCTCCTCTCTCTCAGAGAGAATGAACAGTGATTTTGATGTTTATATAATGGCAATTTCATAATACTTCAAATTATTGAAGGGCATTTTAGTAATTTCTATACCCCTCCGCATAATCCCAGTCACGGAAGCTGCTTCAAGCCGCTTCTGATTTTCAACTTTTTTATGTAAGAAAAAAGTCTGTAGAAGCTCAAGTGGTTGGCCTTAAGCTCAACCAAACAGTCTGTAGTAACTTTTTAGAAGCCAAAAGCTATAATCTGCCCAAATTAAGCCAGACCAAACACCACCTTATTTGTCATGGTTTGTGACTATTTGTCCTCCCTCACCTCTTCCCTTCCTCCTCCTCCTCCTCCTCCTCCTCCATATCCTTTTCTCTATACTCAAATTCCTTCATTGTAGCTTTGTTTTCTAATCTATACTCAAACCTAGGGTTCAACTTCCAAAGCTCTCTTTTTTAAAATTTGTTCCTTACAAGTAGCTCCATTACGCCATTACTGGCAGTTGAGCTTCCCTCTTGTACTTAGATTTGAATATGAGTAACCGTTTGAAGACACGTCATCTTGCATCCCGTTTATTTGATCTAGTGTTACTCGGATCATGTGAGGACCAATGTTTATTGTCACGTGTACGATCAGGATTAAAGGCTTGAATAACCTTCCTTTATTACCCTTACTATGCCACGTGTCGAACTGTAACTGGCTTTTACAAAATATGTAGCCAACAGTGTTGTTCGTTGTTGATGATCTCTAGTGGATCTGGATCTAAAGATGAAGAAAAAAAGAAAAGAAAAAGAAAATGTTGATAATGATGATGTGTTGATGATGATGATGTTGATGAAGATTTTGTTGATTGATGATGATGATGCCCAGGTCCCTCTTCTCTTTTTCTTGTCTCTTCTTCTTCATCATCTTCAAAAAAATGAGAGAGAAAAAAAGAGAAAAAAAAAAAAGTCAAAACGACGTCGTTTTAGACTCGAGCCATTCGAGCCTTATTATTTTCGAGCTACCAATCGAAACTGTTGTTGATTTGATAATTATAAGATAAAAAGTAAAATAATTATGAATTAGATGTGATATTTCGACTTATTCATTATTTTAATGTATTTTATCTTTCTTAACTATTTTAACTAAAAAAAATTAAAAAAATAAGTTGCCAAATAGGACCCTTGTAAGGTCCACACAACGTCTATGAATGGAAATAAGATTCTATGCGATACTCTTAGAGCATCTCCAATAGTGCATTAAATTTGGGTAAAAATTTCATTTGAAATTAAGTGCTTTAACGGAGGATTTTGAAGTTTCATCAAAACACCGATCGATCGGACGGACAACCAAGGGACGATCGGGTGGTCGACCAACCAATGTAAATTTTTCACAAATTTTTACCTTGAGGTGGTTGATCGGGTGGACGACCAGGGGGTCGACCGGCCAGTGTTATTTTTTCACAAATTTTTACCTTGAGATGGTCATCGAGAGACATCCGGTGGTGAAAATTAAACGACTATAAATATTGATTTAATGAAAGGCACATTAGTCCTCAGTTTAATGAAAGAAAAATGAAATTCTGAATTTGATACCTATTTGATGAAACCGTTGGAGCAGAAAAAAACATCATTTTTCATCGAATTCAAATTTGATGAAAAGTTTGAGTAACCATTGAAGATGGTCTTATAATGATTTGAATATTTAGGCCTCATTTGGAAGCATGCTATTTTAGTAATTGTTTAGTTTTTTACGAAAAATGTGCAAAAAATAGAGAGATTGATGTGACAAATTATAATTTAGTGTGTTTGGTTTGAGTTTTTTGAATTAAGTTTTTTGGAAATTGAGTTTTTTGATTTTCGTGTTATTTTTGCTTTTAGTGAATATTTTTAAAATTTATTTTTTTTTTTTTACTTTTTTAGATGCACCTTACTTAAATGTATCTAAAAAGTAAAAAATTTGTGAAAAAATATTTTTACAAATTAATAAATACATAAAAATATAAAAAATGTACTGAATTATCATATTTTTTTGTATTTTTGGTATTTAGTGAATTTTTAAAAGGTTTTTTTCATTTTTTTTAACTTTTTAGGTATATTTATGTTAGGTATGTCTAAAAATTAAAAAAAATTGTTCAAAATATTAAAAAAATTCAGTAATATGTTAGGTATGTCTAAAAATTAAAAAAAATTGTTCAAAATATTAAAAAAATTCAGTAAAAACAAAAAAATACGAAAAATAAGAAAGTAAAATTTTCTGAAAAGTATTTTTAAAAAATGATAACCAAGCATAGTTTGAAAAATAATTTTTTAACCTTTTGACTAAAACTGAAGGATGTCAAATGAGCCCTTAATTAATCATAAATTGTTTTCAAACTATCCTTAAATATTTCTTAAACTGTTGTAGCAAAAATTAATGTGAAAAATCCTAATCTGAATGGGAACCGGAACTGTCGTTTTGTCTGGAGATTATAGGTAGTGTATGTAAAGATTTGTATTGGACAAACAAAACTTCATTTATCAAGTTGAAGCTCGGGGTTTATTTATTTAAATTGTGATTATTAAAAAGAATTATTAATTTAATTCATTTTATTTAATTTTAAATGTTGAATTAGGTTATCATACCACATAAATTATCACCCATATGTTGTGTTTAGTTGGGAAATTTAGGAATTGATTTGAAAAGGAAAAGGGAAAAAGTGCGTGAAATTAGGTAAAATATAGGTATGTTTTATTCACATTTCACTTACTTTTTTCATTTTATTTTTCAAATCCTTCATCAAATTCTTCAACCAAAAACAACAATAGTGTTTAGCATTTGCTTTTTTTTAATGACGTTTGATTTTTCAACTTTTAAAATTTTAAAAAGCTTATTAATTTGAGAATTGAAAAAAGAGTTTTTGTTTTTGTTTTTGCTAGTGAGAAATTTGACTTTCTTATTCTTCCTAAACAAATTTTACTTTAGACAAAAAGCAA